GAGAGAGAGAGAGAGAGAGAGAGAGAGAGAGAGAGAGAGAGAGAGAGAGAGAGAGAGATGCAATAGAGTCGGTGGATAAGGTATAGATGGATTACCTGGATTGGCAGGTGAGCTTAGACGGATGGATGTTATTGAATGAATATATACTAGATAGTTGGGCAGATGAGGATTAGGTGGGTTAGATGGGTACCACAAGCAGACTACCGTCTTATGACCCGAATAGATCGCCCGGTAATTACACCTGTATCTGGACTAGATATTATGCCAAATACAGTATTACTTAATGACAGGGCGTTCTATTCGGGTGAAAAGGGTAGCTAGATGGGTTTACAATTAGAGTAAAAATCGCTCGATGCAGGGATAGATAGATATGATGATTCCTTTTTTTTTGTCTTTTTCATTTTTTTTAATTGATATATGGTGATCATGGGAGATAGATGGATTGAACACCCGAATAAAGCGCCCCCCGATCATTTTTCCTGTATTTGGGGCAGCTTTCAGTCCAGATGCAGCGATACTGGATTCGAACTCCGGTCTGTATTTGAGCACGTCATGGTTGTGCCCAACTGAGTTAGGCCAGTCGGTGATGGGTGGAATTTTTATTGATTTGTAAGATGGGCAAGTGTATACAGACAGAAAGATGGTTAAGATACATGCTGGTGGGTGCAATTTTTGCTCTTGATAAGATGGGCAAATGCATAAATGGTTCAATCAAAGGGGAAACTACGCGGTAGTCACGAAAATGAGTTTTGTAAAAAAAAAGACAAAAAAAAAAAAAGGAGTTATAATTGGGCAATGTATACAACCCATATATGGGCCAAGATACAGTTTCGAAAATTGCAGACCATCTAATTTTTTATTTTTGGAATACAGACCAGGGTTCAAATCCTGATGACCAACTCAGATGAGGAGGACATGACTCTGAATTTCGCTGGGGGCGGCCAGTTGGAAGATGAAATCGTCGCTTTTTTTATTTTATTTTATTTATTTTTTTAATTTCCCCCTTAAGAAAGGACCTGTCGTGCCCGTTCCATTGAACTTCAAATGGCAAGAAATAGGCAAAAAAAAAAAAAAAAAAAAAAAAAAAAAAAGAAAGAAAGAAGA